TCAAGGTCTTGGAAGATAAATAAAGAGCGCAGGAACTGTTCTGATGGAAGGCCACTGGAAAGCGGTGAAGATTGCACCCTATCAATGACCCGGGTTTTCTTCTGCTCTGAAGGGCAGTAAGTGAGTCAATTGGTGAACCATGATTACGGCTAATAGGGGGCCTGCCTTGGGTAATTGCACCAAGATTATATTGAAAACATCCTTGTTCGTAGAAAACTCACCGAAGTGTTTAGAAATAAAGGGGTGCAGTGGCTCCCACTTACTCTCAAATGGCTCAGAAGACAGACAGGCTGGTCGGGAGACAACAGTTGATAGATAGGTCGATGATAGAGAAATTAGATAATTCCAAACCAAGCTCACTGCCATATGAGTCCATGCTGGCTCACAGCGACTTCCTGTGGATTTCCAAGACTTTAACTCTTGATGGCAGTAGAAAGCCCAGTCTGTCTCCCAAGGAGCTGCTGGTGGTCTCAAACTGCCAACCACACAGATTTGGGCCAATGTGTAACCACTACACCACCAGGGCTCCTAGATAGATACATAAATTAGAAATAGCCTGGCATGTGGCCAGTTGTCCTTCCTACCCTAAACCAATTTCCTCTGAAGTCCTTGGATATGAACATTTCACACTTATTTAAATCACTCCTATTTTGTATTTCCTATCACCTGCAGCAGAGCCTATTCCTGATATTATAATTAAAAGAAAAACTCCAAAACGGGTGTAGCTATATGTTGAGGCTACAGTAGCACTAATAATAATAATAATAGGTAAGACTTGTGTTTGCCACCGTTGTTTTAAATGGCGATCTTTTTGTTTCAAACGCCAAGAGTTCAGCTGCTCAGAGGTTGCCCAAAGACAGGGATTCTAGAAGTTGCTATCCAGTCTGGTGGCCACTGGCCACGTGCGGCTATTTAAACAAATTGTTGAGTGCAATGAAATATGTCTTTTCTCTCCCTCCTCCCCCACTAGCCACATTCAAGGGCAACCATGTGGTCAGCTCAGAGAGGGCCCGTCTCTCCATCATCCCAGAGGGCTCTGCTGGGCTGAGTTGGTCTAGATCATGCATTCGAGAAGCTTCCCCAGAGTGTGGTGCTCAGGCCGGGTGTTTGGTAATCCCTGGGGATGGCATTAAAAGCAGCAACAAAACCCTTGACTGTTGAGTGGGTTTCAACTCGCTGGTGGGCAGAGGAGAGCTTGTTCCACGGGGTGGCCAGGGCTGGGGGTGGCCTGCCCTTTCTTTCAAGGTGTGTTTGAGTGCAGGCCACCTCGCCCACTTCTCAATGAGCACTTTAACAGTGTGTATACTCCCACCCCAGGGACTTCCCTCCAGACCTCTCAATCAGGATCTGAGGGAAGGGCCTGGGCATTCCCCTTTGAAC